TTTAGTTAATAAATTTATGATAGAATCTACTCAACATTTTACTAAAAATACATAACGGAAGACACTGAGCTTTTAGCATGAGAAGATTATGTTTACAAAAAAAGAAACAAGTATATCTTCAACATAAATCATAATTATAGACTTATTGCAAACAATATATATTGTTGTTTGACACATATTAATACTGTTCTGTATCCATATCATTCATAAAATTACTTTCGTCATTAGTTGGTTTAGGCCACATACTTTGCATTAAGGGTGCCATTTGTTCAATATCATGAATTTGATTATTTATATAACCATCAACAAGTAAATGAACATCTAATAAATAAAGTAAAAATTGAACTAATTTATCAAAAAATTTCACTACATCAAATTCTGTTGATGAACGTGATAAAACATATTTCCATAATAATTCAACATAAATATTTTGTGCAAAAAATACTGATAAAGTATCATTACAAATTTGATCCATATCATTATCACCTCGATTTCGATAATTTCCACTACAAAATGTAACAATAATAAGAAGAAGTTTAAGTACAATAGGATCATGTGTAAATGGTATTATTCTTTCAATAGATTTTAAAAGACGATTAGTAATATGTACACCGTATATATTTGATAATGAAACAACCAAATTAGTTGTTATACCAGGATGAATAATAGCTTCATTAATATTGATTATAACACCAAATTGATTTCGTATTAAACATATTTTATCATACATACATAAACTATTAAATTCTGGTATAATTTTAAAATATTCAATTAATACTTTATGTATAGAAGAATATTCATTTAAATATTCAAATAATTGTGTATGTTTTCTTGAAGGAAAATCTGGATGTTGAGAATTTTTTACTACCATACATGTTGATTCATATGCATTATAAATATTTTCAAGAAGAATTTGATCAGATTGAGATAAATATGATGATTGATAATATGATAAATGTTCTATTTTTGATGTTGAAATCTAATGATAAACATAATAAAATTTATTTTTACTATTTTATTTCACAAAAAAAAAAAAAAAA